GTTGACTCAGGCCAATCTTCGTCGGAAAAAGGCGGGAACAATCAGCGCAGGCCAATTGGGCAACCGCGTTTTCGTACCAACACTTTCATTGTCGTGAACTCGATGATGGGCTACCAAGCCAGCTTTCGATTTGCAGCACTTGCCACATTCCTCACACGTGAACCCAACGAGTCTCTCCTGTGTACTGGTTGGAGCTTGTGCGGAGGTGCCAGATGATTCGTAGTATACATTGTCGAAAGTAACCAGCACATTGAAACCAAACGGGGTGGTTGGCCCTGTCTGGAGTTGTTGAACTCTTAGCTCACCCAGACAGACGTCCAGGCTACCCGGTCGGCACCACGAGGAGGTGGTTCAGCTCGCTGACTACTACTACTAATACTACTGTGTGGGTAGCCTTCTACGGCATTGTGTCAGATCATTGTCGCTGAATTCATCACAAGGTAAACAATGCAAGTCAGGTATAAGCCCGTAACTGCAAAGGTATCACATATAGTAGGTTGGATAGCACGTTTTTACTCGGTAGTCATCAATAGGCTTTCAACCAATATAGGTCCAATATAGGATAGACCGATTAGTGGAGCAGCATTATGTGATTTCGAACAGAAAGCTTGCTTCGCCTAAGTTGTTCTTTTGTCTTCGCGTAGTTTAATGTCCAGCAGTTCCGTGTCCTATAAAGAGATGTTCCGGAAGATTCCCTTTGAACAGATTACCACTCAAGTGAGTGTTTTTGATAGTTCAACGAAGTAAGTATCCTCCAACGTTTTCCATGAGCAGCACCTCAAGTTGAAAGCCGCTACCTTTTCCAAAGTTTTTGGCGTGCTATTCCAGCACTGCACTGGTACAACCTCCTTACAACACACTTGGTGCTTTCTACAAGGTTTTTTTGCTTATTTCGTGTGAATCACTCATCCATGGGTTATTGGAGGTTGAGGGGGATCTCCGTACATTGTTGATGTTGACTTGACAGATATTGAATACCAACAATGAATGCAGTCAGTTCTTGTGTTATCCCTTCTTGAAACTGTTGTCGATACCTATGTAGGTGGCTATAGTATGTAAATCCTTATTCCCTATGTTTCTTCTGTGAGCTCAGAATGACTGCTCAGTGAGTTGTTAGCCCAACTTTGAACCGTCGGTTTGAGCATGCTCTGTGTTGTCTTTTTTTCCAGATTTATCAGGAATGGCTTCCGAAAGTCACAGCATTCTCTCGTAAAGCTGCTGTGACCATGCTTCAAGCAGTTCACTCGCGGGAAACACGATCCCACGATACAGGAAAAAGTGAAACTGAGCCACCGGTGATTGTCTCTTCCCCTGGGCTACTCGACCTCTCATCGGTTAGTCCGACCTCTCCGCGTATAGCAACTGCACCTCAAATCCCTTCTGCGCCGATGTCTACCCATTCTTCCACTGCAGCATCTTTAGGCAATATGGATCAGGAATCGGATGACCACTTCGATGAAGATGCCGAAGATCTTGAAGAGGAACGAGAATGTCAGCTTGCCCCGCTTCAATCACATCTTGCTCTCCCCACCCGTACTCGCTCGACGTTCACGTCCCTTCCTGTGGGTTCCATGGAACCCACATCACCACTCCTACCGCTGTATGTTCCCGATCATTCTCAGCAGGCTCCAACTCAATTTACCGGATCACGTCTACCCGCAACCTACCCTACTTCATCTTCCTTCCCACTGACTGTCCCAACCGACTTCCAATCGCCGACATTAATGTTTTTTCATCCCGGTGACGATGACGATGACTTGGCTGAAATTGACCGAGTTAACCGGCGACTCGCTATGAGTGGCGGTTTGCTCGAGTTCAGTGATACACCAGCCTATATGGGATGCCCATCTACACGCACCTTTCTCTCGCGCCCTCCACCACAGATGTTTCCATCTTCTGCTTCCGCTACGTGCTCATTTCAACCAGAAGTTTCTCCGCATGAAGCATCCCCAAGTGGCCCCTCCAGTCACTCCCAAGCACCGCAGTGATGACATAACTATTTTTGCTTTTATCCCTCACAATCGTGTTTTGTGTTTGTTCTATCGCCCAGTGATATCACTTCAAGTCACCTCATCTTTGTCTTTTTGACTTCAATACATTCTCATTATTACTGTGACGACTCACCCTTTTCGACCATTTTCCCTCGTAAGAATGCTCGTTTGGCAACCAGTTTGCATAATTTGCTCTTTTTCATCTCTCCCGGATGAATTTATTTGTTCGTTTTGTTTGCCTGTTTTAGGCTGTGCATGAATGTGCTTTTTGTGTGTGGAACGCCTCTGCACGAAACATACGTATATTTTGCTTATTTGTTCTGCTCAAAATGCTATCGGATTTCGGAGTGCTCTGGATGTTAGTAGACTTTTTAGCTTATCGTTTGTGCCCAGGCTCTTCGTTATACAGATGTCAAGGTTAAGTGTCAACAACCGTCGATGATGGTGATCATCTGTAGATTTATGGCTACTTAATTCTTCGCTACTGTGAGTATGAAACCTTCTCTAAAGGGTTCGTGCAGTCATTTCTCTTGGATCGCCGAGCGCCTCTGTTCTTAAGTGGAACTTTTGGGAAAGAACATTCAGTTGCTGTGGCAGTAGAGCGTCGCTGCGTGATTTAAATGGTTTTGACGGTTGTCCTTCTTCGAACACTTCTTATCTTTATTTTCACAGGAGCCCATAGTTTTACATCTTTTAACTAGAGATATGTTTCTAAGGTAATAAATTTTCGTTCAGCTGTAGCGCCCTTTCGGTGCCTAGCTGCCATGCCACCCGAAGGAAGCAC